GTAATTCTTTCTTGAAATAATAATGTAGGGTTACATACTTATTCTTGGATATATATATACAATCAGTTATTTTTATCTTCTGGTGTTAATTTACTTTATCAAAAATTGACAGGAAAATATGTGGAGCTTTAAAAGCAACAGTGACAAACTAGACCGACTAAGGTGCAGTTAGAGATTGTCACGACCCAAACCCCGGTCGTGATGATGCCCAACACATTGTTAAGCAAGCCCAATCATTCAACAACAAATCTCAACTTATGATAATTCAGGAATTCGAACACAAATACTAAATTACTAAACCATCTTATCAAAATACTATAAGTACAGAGTAGTATACTGAAAACCAACAAAAATTACTGGAACATAACCCAAAACAGGATTCGGTGTCACGATCACGAGCCTCTAATACAGAGTGTCATCCTATAACAAGACTGTCTAAGAAATAGAATAATGAAAGATATGGATAGGAGGGAAGGATCAAGGTTGCGAACGCCATGCAGCTACCTCGATGCTCTCGGTGAAGTGCTGCTCAGCTAGACAGGTCCTCCCTCAGACTGTGATGCACCTAAATCTGCACACAAGGTGCAGGGAGTAAAGTAAGTACTCCGACTCAATGAGTAATAAGCATAAATAATAACTGAAGATAAGAAATCACTGAAAAACACAAGGCAACTATAACGGGCAGTACCAAACCTTTAACAGTAAGACCGGCAATTCAATAAAGTAATAGTACAGAAAGAACCATGACAGGTAACAGGTAAGGACTGATGCAATGCAATGCAATGCAAATACCGGTACACTCAGGTACCCACTGCGGCATGCAGTCCGAGCCAACCATATATTTTACGTCGACAGCGCTCACTGGGGGTGTGTACAGACTCCGGAGGGGCTCTTACAGCCCAAGCGCAAATAATCAAGCTATCTCATGGCACCAACCAGGCCCTCGGCTTCAATATCAATATAGTACTGCTGCGGCGTGCAGCCCGAGCCAACCATGTATCCAGAAATCACTATAAGCCTCTTGGGCATTTTAAATCAGTAATTCACAGCCCAAAATATCATTTAAAATGTCATTTAAGTTTTCAAATCTGAGAAAAGGGGCTGAGTTTGCAAAATAGTACTTAAAACCTTGGAATGAGGTTAAACAATATGCGAAGCATGCAAAATCAGTGATATCAATCCCTGAAGGATTCGAATAGCCGGCCCGAAGCCCAAATACAACAGTCAAATCCAAGTAACGATGATTTCCAACAGTTCTAGTAGAAAAACACAGTAAAACATCACCGGGACGGACCATGTCACAATCCCCAATAACAAACGACCCCGCACTCGTCATAGAGCGCGTGCCTCGCCTCAATATAGCTATACGATGTGAAATTCCGGGGTTTCAAACCCTCAGTTCATCATTTACACCTATTACTCACCTCCAGTCGGCCCAAAATCTAGCTCGCTATGCCTTTTCCTCTCGAATTGACCTCCTCGCGCGTCAAATCTGATCAAAACCACAAGGAATACATTACAATAGGCTAAGGGAATATAACCCAATCGAAAAGACTCGAAAAATACCAAAAATCACGAAGTTGGCAAAACCCGAGCCCCGGACCCACTTCTCGAAAAATTATAAAATTTACATCATCGGATTCCCGTCTCGCCATGAGTCCATACATATCAAATTTACCAAAATCGGAGTTCAAATGCCCTTTCAAATCCCAAATTTTCATTTCAAAAACCAAGCCCTAGTTCTTCCAATTTTTACCCAAATTTTCAAGAATTAAAGATTGATTCTTCAAACTAATGACGTTTCTAGGTCACGAGACTCACCTCCAAACAATCCCCGCCGATACCCTCTTCAATTACTCCCAAAAAGCTCTCAAGGTGGTTAACAATGGAGGAAAAAGGAATACACTCGCGGATGAAATATTCAAATAAAACCCTTTCTGCCCAGGTGTTTTACTCTACGCGAACGCGGCCACAACCCACGCGTTCGCGATGACCAATTATTAAGGCTGCCAAAATTGCCCTTCGCGTACGCGGCATCACCCACGCGAACGCGTAGGCCAAATTCTTGGCCCCTCAGATTTCCTCTATGCGAACGCGTGACACCAATCGCGAACGCGAAGCTTCGCCTTTCAATACTACGCGAACGCGACTAAGGAGACGCGAACGGGAAGACCAATTTCCAGACCTCCAAATTCTCCTCTACGCGTTCGCGGCCCTACCCACGCCAACGCGATGGGTACATCTTCTGCAATCCTACAGCTGAAAACCTGCAACATATCAAGTCCAAAAATGGTCCGATTGACCACCTGAAATCACCCCGGGGTCCCCGGGACCCCAACCAAAGGTACCAACACATCCTAAAACATTATTCAAACTTGTTCCAATCTTCAAAGCGCATCAAACAACGCTAAAACCATTAAATCACATCGGATTCAGGCCTAAGTTTCTTCAAAACTTCCGAAATACGCATTTGATCAAAAACCCGACTAAGACACCTCCGAATGACTTGAAATTTTGCACACATATCCAAAATCACCTAACGAAGCTGCTGCAACTCTCGGAATTTCATTTCGAGCCCCGAATCAAAATCTCACCTACCAACCGGAATTCGCCAAAATACTAACTTCGCCAATTCAAGCCTAATTCTACACCGGACCTCCAAAATCATTTCCGATCACAATCCTAAGTCAAATCATCCCCCGAAGCTAACCGAATTACCGGAAATCACATCCGAGCCCTCTAACTCATTAGTCAACATCCGGTTGACTTTTCCAATATAAGCCTTCCTTAAAGAGACTAAATGTCTCATTTTCTACCAAAACCAAACCAATTCGACTCTAACTCACCAAATGCCGATAATGGAACATGAAAAAGCAATAAACGGGAAAAACGGGGCAGTAACACATGAGACGACGGGCCGGATCATCACAGAGACAAATATCAGCGGAAAAAGGAAAAGATTGTGTAGCTTTGGGTCTCAAGCAAGATTCTAGTACTATAATTGGTGTCATAGAAGAATTATGTACTGTAAAATATTTTGAGACTTAAATATACAATTATTTGTAACTTGAATCTATTTTGGAAGCTAAAGATTCTTAGCTACATTATAAAAGTTCTCGTGACAACCAATGCTTGTGGAAAATTCTTCAATGTGTAGCAATGTAATATTTATTTTGTACCTAAGCGCGTATATATAATTGCCACGTAACAAAAATATGGTTATACATTCTCACTATTCGTAGCTTATAAAGAAAATCTTTAGCTATAATTCTATATAATTCATAGCAAAAAAGAATGAATTCTTAGCTACTACCTAAAATATTTGTGGCAGATACTTCAATTCATAGCTATAAATTTTTAAATTCGTAACTAAATACGACGAGGAATAATTTTACTACTTGTCTTTCCCTTCTATCCAATGATTGAACAAAAAAAGAAAAATTCATTCTTTTTCTAATCAATCAAGGGGAACATTTATAATTCTTAATTCTATAAGGTTGAATAAAAATTTGATTGACCATTTGATATAATTGCTATGCTTAGTGTGTGACTCGTTGGTTTTTTAGGGTTAGGATTAAAAAAGACCAGCCCACATAGTATGAACTAAAAACTATAGAACTAATAACCAACCCATCACTTCGCATTATCTGGATCTAAAGAACCAGTCAAGATATGATATATAGGTCATATCTTTGTAGCAACTGAAATCTTTTGCATAAACAAAAAAGGAAATCTGATTCTAAGTTGTAAAGCAAAATAGACAAAAAAGATGTGGATAAATGGAAGGATGAGAGAAAGAGAGAAAACGAATACCAATGATATAAAATTCCAATATGTAAGGTCTATGAGTAATCTCATAAAAGGCAGTGTAATAAAGTACTTTTGCCACGAGACTAAGCTATAAAAATAGCCACAAAATTTGAATTTCTATAGCAACCAAATTAAATATTTTGCCACAATAAAATACATTGTGGCTACAATATAGAGACTGCTACATGTTTTATTTGCCGTGGCAAAAGAATAAAATTATTTGCTATAAGTATATATTTCGTGGCAAATAAGTTTATCAATATAGCTGCAATACAAAAAATATTCGTAGCAATAAGTATTAGTCCTTAGCCATGTAACATGTAAAATTTTAGCTAACTTTTAGCTACGCTACATTTTGCTACGAATGCTACAGAAAATATTATTGTGGCTAAAGCTTTTTGCTACGGAAATTTTCATATTTAGCGACCATATACTTCGTAGCTATATATGCATAATGTTGTAGTGAAAAATGACCCTAATAGGTATTTAGCGTAGATTTCCCATGAAAATAGGCATGCCCAAAAATGTCCATATTGAAATAATGGCTTTTCTAGTTAGCTCTCGCGTTAACTGTGTGGACCAAATAACGAGTGGAACCACAGTAAAATATTCTTTCTCTTCATAGACGGGTCCTATCAGTATAATTAAATTCTTGGCTATTCCAAGACTAATAAATACTGTAGTCTACTAATACACTCATATAGTCATACTATGAGGGTAGGCCCGGGCTATGAGTCATACTATGAGGGTAGGCCCGAGCCCGGGCCCAATGGCTATTTAGTATTTTTGTTAATAGAGCTATATATGTACTTAAATGTATCCTGGGGCATAAATTATGCCCGGGCCCAATGGCTATTTAGTATTTTTGGTAATAGAGCTATATATGTACTTAAATGTATTCTGGGGCATACAAAAGAAACATGTTATGGATTATGTTTTTGTATACTTATAAGGTTTTGTTAGGATGCTTTATAAAGCAAAGTGCTACAGGCTAAAGGGAGATCGTATTTAACAGTCATAACTACATACAAAAATATGATTTTAATACTAGTATTTAGCAACATGGTCACTGTCCCGTCCAGCTTTTTCATTATGTTGGACCAACCATCAAGCATGTTGGTACTGTTGCAGGCACTAAAGTGGCCTCTAGCAGTTTGTCAGTCAGCTGAGCGTCTTCTACTCTGTTATAAAGATGAATTAAGCGTGTTAATGATTCACATAAGAGTGTATAATCTGCTCAAATAAACTCAGTGATATCCAACATCCACAAAAACTACGTGCAATAATTATTAACTGAGAGAGCTGTGGATAAACTTGTGAGATGCATTCATCTATAAGATTATCTTAGAAACACAAAAATCAATATTAATGCCCTTTTGAACTCACATCCACATTTATATATACAACTGCCATATGGTAGACTATGACTGCAACAATATCAGGAAATAGAAGTCAATTTTTTGAGGCCAATAAACCAAAAGAGGGAGTTGACCATATATAATATAGACCATCCATTTCTTGTCTTTGAACTCTGCGTAAGAGCTCCACTTGTAGGATTCCACCAATGGAAAGAACAGGTTTTGGCAGCCTAAACTTCTACAAGTTGTTCTCCTGTACCCATGAGAAGCAAACTTAGCTGTTCCAAAGTCGAGACACATAAAAGAAGAAATCTTAACTAAAACTGAGCTGCAGTTGAAGTAGATTTTAAATTGCTTGCTTTCGTCAACAAAAGAGAAGATTAGTTCATGGATGAGCACCTAACAGTAATGAGTGATATACTTCCGCCAATTACATGTTCCGACACAAGTAAGACCAGGAATAGGCTTAGTTAGTGGAAACCATTATTATTACTTGGGAAGTAGTTATTACTTATTATCCAAGAAAAAATGTCACTGTAAAGTATCCATTTGATTGCTTCACGGATGAGAACTATCTAGAACAAAAGAAACTGAAATATTGTTATTGCTTCTCACCTGAGCCATGGGAAATTCTGGTGAGGTATATGTCCATGCGATTTTGTCCAACAAAGATCCTTGAGCAGCTGCAGATTCATGTCCGTCGTCACTTTGTACATCTATTTTAATATTAGGATATCCCACTCTAAATCTCACAGCTTTTATTGAATAAAGGGGAAAGCCAAGCTGGAAATATGATGTTACAACATCATAATGTTTCTTGTTAATTTGAAGAAAATAAATAAATAAGCCGAATGAACAAATCCATAACATAGTGCAACCTTGAAATGGATTACATGAATTTCTGAAACCAAGCACAGGTTTGAGATTAATTTATATGATAGTGTCTCGGGAACTGTAGGATCAGTTTCTCCTCTACTTGACCAGTATGAAACCCCGCGGCGAACCCGGTCACTTAGTTCTAATGTATTCAGAATGCTTTCTTCAGGATAGTTGTCAGTGCCTGATGCAAGGATTGCATCTGTTAACCAATCTTTTCCCATACAGTTGGAAAGTCCTTTTGCCATAAATGTATAAATCTGTGATCTCACTCCCGACGTAGATTTTTCAGGCTGAGATACCACTTGTACAATTGTGTTTTTTACTTTAATCATATTTGCAGCACTTGACATATCTCACTCCCGACGTAGATTTTTCAGGCTGAGATACCACTTGTACAATTGTGTTTTTTACTTTAATCATATTTGCAGCACTTGACATTCAGGGAATCTCCTCAAACAGAGATGCTTACAAAATCCATTTCCAATCACTGCACAGAATTGTGTAGTCTGAACTCTGACGTTATATGGCATGGGAAAATTCATTAGTGTACAAGCATATTCTGAGAACAAAGAGGATAACAGGACAGATAACGAATAGAATTGAGAGGAGAAATAAAGTCAAGTGAAAAGTAAAAGCAAAGCAGCAGAAACCAATTAATTCTCAAGTTTACTTGTTCATTTTCATATCATTTTATCAAGGCGGTTTGATTTAAGATACTAACAATATTTTTAATTGAAAGTATGTACTAATATTTAGGGGAAAAGAAACTTCAGAAGTAGATAAGATGTTCTGTCTCAAGTTTTTCGTTCAAAGCACACTTAATAAAGATAAAGAGTCGCAGTTCGGTACATCGACCACTTCAGACCATCCATATACCGGCTTCTTGTTTACTCTTTTCCTTCATTCTCACAATTACAGTTATAAAGGTTTCAACAGGTGCACTGGTTCCTTTATTGCGTTTCCTTTATTGTATGCTTTTAAATTATCACCAACTATAATATCATGTCTTCTGAAATTCCTTTCTTTAAAAATTTTTCAGGAACAAGTTGAAGAAAAAATAAGAAGATTCAAGAGAGGGCAAAACTTTGGATGATTTAAGGTAAGTGAGACTTGTCAAGGATTTATATCAATTAAACTTGTGGGCAAACTTGAAGAAGCAGAACAAATTACAGAGAGATGGAAGTAGAATGCCATCAAAATTACCCAAAATCATGTTATGACCTTAAGCAATGCCTTCAGCTGGGTTCGAAGTGAGTAGCAGCTAATAACGGAAATTAGGAAGCAGTAACTAAAATTCAAATGAACGGCTGAGATTAATTAGAGTTTTAATGAAGCCCAAGGGCTATGATTAAGCCACGTCAGCATTGGTTGTCATAACTAACTGGAAGAGGAAGGGCATCGGCATTCAGCAAAGTAAACATTCTTCTCTCTCTTCTTCTTCTCCTTCTTCCTTACTCTCTTCTTCTTCTCCTTCTTCCTTACTCTCTTCTTCTCTTCTTCTCTTCAGGTAACACAACTATGGAGACTCGTTAGCTTTAGTTCTTCCTTCCAGTTGTAATAGATAGTTTCTTTTAATTCAATATACCAGAAAATTGTCCCAAAAATACTCTATTTCCATTCCTGTATTTTGATTTCCTTAATTCGATTTAAGATCATTACAATTGGTATCAGAGCCTCGATCCTGCGACTGTGAGGAGCTGATGGTTGAAGGAACTAGACTGAAGGTTATGGATGATAGACTGGTTAGACACGAAGAGGTCCTTAATGAGGTAGTGAACACTCAGGAGGCACTCCGCAACACTCAAACTGGCATACAAGGCACACTAGAGCTGATACTCGAACGGCTGACTAGTCTGGAGAGGGTTCCACCAAGAGCACAAGGAGAGAGACCTCAAGGTGATGGATTACTGCCCATGCCAGGCCCAGAGGTAAGGCAGCATCGACCTCCAGCAGTACAAGCTCCTGCGCCAAAATGGGAGCTACCTTATTTTGAAGGTCATGAACCTAAAGGATGGATCCGAAAATGTGAGAGGTACTTTAACTTGTATAAGACTCCAGAGAATTTGAAGGTGGAAGCAGCTGCTCTCTACTTAAATGGCTTGGCAGACATCTGGTATGATTCCTTAATCCTTAGTAAAGGGGAAATAAGTTGGGGGCTGAATTTAAGGAGGAATTGTTGATCCGATTTGGAGATGAATTAATGGGAGACATAGTAGAGGAATTTAATAAGCTGAACCAGACGGGAACAGTAGACGAATTCCTAGGTAAATTTGAAGATTTGAAAGCCCAAATGCTGATCAGGAACCCTAACTTAGATGAGTCACACTTCATATCTAGCTTTATTGGAGCCTTGAAGGAGGAGATTAGGTTTGGGGTGAAACTCTTCAAACCTACAACTCTAAGGTTTGCAGTGGAACAGGCTAGGTTACAGGAGAAGGCTATCGAGGCTGCTCTTAAGCGTACAAAGGTAGTGGCTAAATCATTTCAGAATACTGGCAGCATCTAACAACAATAAGACACCTGTTACAACTACAGTCAAGCCAACTTCATTTAGGCTCAGCCCTGAGGTTTATGAGTACAGGAAGAATAATCATTTGTGTTATAAATGTGGTGAGAAATATGCTCCAGGCCACCAATGCAAGAGGAAGCAATTGAATAGTATGACGGGAACAACAGAAGTTCCTATTGAGATTGGTGAAATAGAAGAAGAGCAAGACTCTACAGGACTGATCATTGAAGGGGAAATGGAACAGGAAGTTATAGAGGCAGTGTGTTTAAATGCTCTATCAGGGGATAACAAAGGAGTTAATACTATATTGGTACGAGGGACTATAGGCAACAGGAAACTAACAGTATTAATTGACTCACTCAGGGAGTACTCACAGTTTCATTGATGCCACCACAGTCAAGGAATCGGGATACCAAGCTCAACCCTGCCCACCAGTGAGGGTAACAGTTGCTGAGGAAACTATTGTTATGTGTACTGCAATTTGCATGAGCTATCAGTGGAAGATGCAGGGCAGATCATTCCAAGAGAATCTATTAATTATTCCATTGGGAGGCTGTGATATGGTTATGGGGAATGATTGGATGAAGAAGCACAATCCAACCAAATTTGATCATGAGAAGATGTGTGTTACCATTGGTAAGAAGGGTAAACAAGGCTGGTGGTTACAAGGCACTCACTGATGAAGGGAAACTGACTATGATCTCCAGTGAAACCATGGGCAAGATGTTAAGGAAAGGTCAGGCTCTAATAGCTCACCTATTCATGATGAGTACTGTGAATATTGAAGAACAAGAGCCAGTGGGGGAGGCCATTGAAGAGGTACTACAGCAATGTTCAGATGTCTTTGCTGAGCCCAAGACCTTGCCTCCTGTCAGAACATTAGACCATAGCATACCCTTGAAACCAGGAGCAATGCCAATCAGTTTGAGGCCCTACAGGTACAACTATTACCAGAAAGAAGAATTAGAAAGGCAGGTTAAGGAGATGCTTACTAATGGCATCATACAGCATAGTCAATCACCCTACTCTTCTCCAGCCTTACTTGTCAAGAAGAAAGATGGATAATGGAGATTCTGTGTAGACTATAGAGGGATGAATGACATCACAATTAAGGATAAATACCCCATACCCATTGTAGATGATCTATTGGATGAGTTGTGTGGATCTGTGATGTTTTCAAAGGTGGATTTGAGGGCTGGCTACCACCAGATCAGAATGAAGGTGGAGGATGTGTACAAGACTGCTTTCAGAACTCACATGGGCCACTATGAGTTCAGGGTGATGCCCTTTGGGCTAACAAATGCTCCAACCACCTTCCAAGCCTTGATGAACCAGGTTTTTAACCCTTCCTTCCGGGAAAGTTTAGTTGTTGGTTTTCGTTTTGTATGACATATTGGTATACAGCCTATCTGAGAAGGAACATGTAGCTCATTTGAGTGCAGTGTTTAGCATCTTAAGAAAACATTCCTTATTTGCAAAAAGATCTAAATGTTCATTTGGTCAGTCCAAAGTTGAATATCTGGGGCATATTATAACTGTGAAAGGAGTGTCAACTGACCCTTCCAAGATCAAGGCTATGATTGACTGGCCCACCCCCAACTCTGTGAAAGCTTTAAGAGGATTCTTGGGACTGACTGGGTATTACAGGAAGTATGTTGCCAACTATGGCAGCATTTGCAGGCCCTTGACTGATTTGTTGAGAAAGGATGCTTTCAAATGGAGTGAGGAGGCAGAGCTAGCATTTGAAAAATTGAAGAGGGCTATGTTTTCTACACCTTTACTAGCACTACCTGACTACAGTAAGGAGTTCATAGTGGAAATTGATGCTAGCCAAATGGGCATTGGGGCTGTACTAATGCAGGAAGGTAGGCCCATAGCTTATTTTAGTAAAGTTTTAGCCCCAAGACACAGGGGCAAATCTATCTATGAAAAGGAGTATATGGCTTTGCTAAATACAGCGGAGAAGTGGAGGCATTACCTACAATACAAGCATTTTGTAATGAGGACTGACCACCACAGTTTAAAATATCTCCTAGAGCAGAGAGTAACTACAGCCATACAACAAAAATGGTTGACTAAACTACTTGGGATGGACTATGAGGTGCAGTACAAGATAGGAGCTGAAAATAGGGTTGCTGATGCCCTGTCCAGACAACAGGAAGGCCTTGAAGTTTCAATGAACCAACTCCAGGGTACTTTACAAGCCATCAGTGTTTCAGTTCCTGCATGGGTGCAGGAAATAACACACAACTATGAAGGGGATCCTAAGGCTACTGAAATCATTAGCCAACTGGCTGTGACCCAACAAGGACCTAACAATGGCACTACAATGCTAGCATACTCAGAAAGAAGGGCAAAATCTACATTGGTACCAGTGGGGAACTCAGAACTCAATTGATATCCACCTTTCATGACTCTCCTATAGGGGGACATTCAGGTCAGCTGGGAACTCTAAGAAGACTGTCACAAGTATTTTATTGGCCAAGGATGAAACAGATGGTCATTGATCATGTGGCCAGCTGTGATGTATGCCTCAGAAGCAAGGATGACCATATGGCCTACCCAGGGTTGCTACAACCCCTACCTATCCCAAACCAAGCTTGGAGCCACATTAGCATGGACTTTATAGAAGGATTGCCCAAGTCCAGAAACAAGGAAGTTATTCTAGTGGTTGTGGACAGACTAACAAAGTATGCCCACTTTATAGCACTTGCCCACCCTTATACAGCTGTAACTGTAGCTGAGGTGTTTTGGGAAAAGATACATTGTTTGCATGGGATCCCAGAATCTATTGTAACAGACAGAGACAAGGTGTTCTTGAGTCACTTTTGGCAAGCTCTATTCAAACTCCTGGGAACACAACTCCACTATAGCACTGCCTATCACCCCCAAAGTGATGGACAAACAGAAAGGGTCAACAGATGTCTAGAAAATTATCCAAGGTGCATGACTGCTAATAGGCCAACACAATGGAAACAGTGGTTGCCTGCTGCAGAATGGTGGTACAACACAAATTTCCGCACCAGTTTGCAATGTACTCCCTTTGAAGCTCTTCATGGATTCTCACCTCCTCAACTGTCACTAGGAACCTTATTAGAAACTAGGGTACCAGCTGCTGAAGGAACAGTGATGCATAGACAACAAATGCAACAACTCTTGAAGGAACACCTCACTAAAGCTCAGGAGAGGATGAAATATTATGCTGATAAAAGGAGGTCAGACAGGGAATTTCAGGTTGGAGACATGGTGTATTTGAAGTTGCAACCATGCAGGCAGACATCCCTAGCCTTAAGGAAGAATTTAAAATTGAGCTCCAAATACTATGGCCCCTACGTGGTTTTAGCAAGAATTGGCAAGGTGGCATACAAATTAGATCTTCCACCTGAATCTAAGATCCACCCTGTATTTCATGTGTCCTTGCTCAAAAAGAAAGTAGGAGATAAGGTGGTAGTACAGACTACTCTTCCAATGACTGGAGATGATGGCAAGTTTCTAGTAAAACCAGTTTGCAGAGGCAGCTCATAAAGAGGGATAATTCTGCTGTGGTGAGGGTATTAATACAGTGGTCAAATCTTCCTCCTGAAGATGCTACTTGGGAGGACTATCACTACATCAAGGCGAGATTTCCAGACTTTGATTCCAATCCTTGAGACAAGGATTGTTTGAAGGGGGCGGGAATGTTATGACCTTAAGCAATGCCTTCAGCTGGGTTCGAAGTGAGTAGCAGCTAATAAGGGAAATTAGGAAGGAGTAACTAAAATTTAAATGAACGGCTGAGATTAATTAGAGTTATAATGAAGCCCGAGGGCTATGATTAAGCCACGTCAGCATTGGTTGTTATAACTAACTGGAAGAGGAAGGGCATCCACATTCAGCAAAGTAAACATTCTTCTCTCTCTTCGACTCCTCTCTCCTCTTCCTTACTCTCTTCTTCTTCTCCTTCTTCCTTACTGATCTTTTTCTCTTCTTCTCTTCAGGTAACACAGCTATGGAGACTCGTTAGCTTTAGTTCTTCCTTCCAGTTGTAATAGATAGTTTCTTTTAATTAAATATACCAGAAAATTGTCCCAAAAACACTCTATTTCCATTTCTGTATTTTGATTTCCTTAATTCGATTTAAGATCATTACAAATCAACTTACCCAAAATCAAAATTACCAGATTATTCTTCACCCAAGCGAACGAACAAATTAAATCCGAAGACAATAATAAAAATCAAGTAGAAAATCTGATTCATTGTAAAAATTTGCCCTTATTCTCAAGGAAATACACAGAAGTTGAAGTGAAGGAAGAAAAAATCCAGCAAAACATAGCTAACCTGATAAAAGTTTCAGAGCCGCAAGAGGAAAGACGAGAAGAGACAAAGGAAAATTGAAGAGGAACTGAGAAAGGCATGAAAATCCGAGAAAGATGAGTATGAACCTTCTTCTGAGTTGAGTTCCATATGGGGAGGTGGCAGTGATTGAGAAATCGAAGATAACACGTGTGTAGAAAGCTAAAATATTTGAAATTCCCAAACTACCCAAGCTGCTCTCTTAGCCGCTTCTATACTACTAGTGACGGTATGCCCGGATTTAGAATTTTTGTTATTATTTTAGGATGTCATCCATTTTTCGTATTTAAATCCGCGGTGCTGGTTAGGCACATGGAGTAAATGAATGAATTCCTTTGGGTTATTAGGTAGATGTGACATGTGTAGCGAAAATGAGATTCCGTCTTTTTCTGAAAGAAAATATGCCAGAATTAGCTTATAGAAACAACATTTTGTATCTTAATAACTTGCAAGGACATGAGCCAACCTGTAATTTAGCATGCGTAGGTAGCTAGATTACATGGTTGTTCATTTTGGATGCATTCTTTTATCTTCAAAGAGAATAATAAAAAAAATTGGATTTAGATCATGTGTTATCTCCACATGTTCTTCTCCTAAGCCCCTAGCTATTAATATTTCAGAGTATTAAATCTCATGCCGATAATCAAGGAAATGCAAAGCGCAAATAAGAGTAGATATATTTCTTCACCCTCCCTCTATCCATCAAGGATGCATACAAGAGAAAGTCACCTGAAATTGTGTGCTTGCATCTGTATGGCCCAAGACTTCATCTCTGGAAAAGGCGATCCAAAATGGGAAGAAAAGAACCAATCCAGTTAGCAACTACCACTGTAACTTAACAAGACTGTGTCGCATTAAGGATTGTTGTGTGTTAAGAGAAGCTTGAATTTCGAGTTGAAGTTGTTGCATAAGATTGAAGTCATTGGGAAGATATTAAGGTATGTCAAGGCTCACTCTTTTTTTCTTTTGGCATGATGTACAAACAACATAACTATAATACAGTTACTTTAAAACGAACTTTTTTCTCAAAGATTAAAGCTTGTGAACCTCATTGTTTCATATTGTTATAGTTCATTCCTCTTATTGTTCTTTGTCGGGATCACTTCCCGGCTTGATAGCATCTTGAATTGTATGTCTTCTTATGATCTTTATTGACTCTCGGATAATTGATGCAGACACAGTTACACAACAAAAATCGGAGGATAACGACCTTGAGTCACTCCGATTGAGTCCATAAGGCTCTTCAGAGTCATTGTTTAATGTGGTTACATATTTATTAAGTAAAAAGTCAGTAATAAATCAGGTCTTTTCTATTACGAAACTTAAATCTGATTGAAGTAAATGATTTGATATATTCAAACAATTAAATTCCATGAAGGTAAATATCCAATTATACATAAATAAAAATCGAATAATAACTACCCAAAATATTCAAAAAGTTTAACAACGTAAGTGCTTTTAAGAGTGTTATGCGCGCAAAATAATTATTAAGTAGCTTCTTGAAAGAAGAAAGGCAATGGATATTTAAGAGTATACAAAAGAGAGAGAGATTGGATGGGAAAGTGGGATCCACATGGGGTCTGGTTGATTGTTACTGTCAGAAAAATAAAGTGATCCGATGATATAAGCACAGGGGTAAATAAGTCAACAAAATCAAAATTTTACACTGATGCTATAGTAAAGTTCTTTTTCAACCAATAAGACTTGCTCCATTCTAATATATTTACAAAGAAGTCCTCCTGGGCCCAAATTAAAAAGCTAAGATACACGTGACAACAGTTTAGCAAACATGAAACACCAGCTTTTAAGCATACAACTTATGCAGACACGTTGACCCTAAGCTGCTCTCGTTAGTGGTTTCTATAAAATACTTCTCTTCATTTGCAGTAAAGATTATAACCACATGATGTTGCTTATGCTCTAACAATTTAAAGTCTAAAGTAATGATCAATTCACTGCCAAATTTTCTCCTAAGTTGTAACTGCAATCTTGAAGCTTTGAAATAATTGAGGCAAAAATAGCACAAGTGTCTAGCCTTTAGTATACTGAACCATAAATGTAAACCAATACAACAGCAAATAGAAGATAAAAGATGATACAACATGATTTGTTTTATTAATTTGATCATGTCTACAAAAATATTGCTCTAGCTTTTGAATAAGATAAAGCAATCCTATTCTGTTTCCCAAGAATTCAAAATTTATCTCATCTCTCAACGACGCTGCATCAACTTCCGAGCACATCTGCACCCAATGCAAATTAAAATCCCCATTACACCCATTTATATGTATTGATTTTTTATTTCATGCACGAAGTTTTCTAAGCTTACATAAAATGTTGTCACAACACCAGCAGAATCACTTCCCACAAATTTCAGCTTTGTGCTAAACCAACCTAATATATAACTCTGCCTAGTGATAAACCACAATCTATATACCAAGAATGTGAATATTCAAATGTTAAGAAAAGAAAAAGAATGTAAGAAATAAAAACATTTGGGTTTTAATCACCTAATACTTGGTCTAAGGTGAGATAGCAGATATGTCCATGTGAGAAGTCTTGAAATGAGTACCAGTTTTCCTGAAGTTGTTTTCACCTCCCATGAGAGGGCACCAACAGGACAATAGCCAATTCCACACAGAAACTTCAATTGAAGAGCATTATATTCACCCTGTCCCTATCAATAGATGAGCAAAAGCAGAAAAGCACGTGACTTTTAGAAAGAATGGGGATATTAGAGAGTTCAGTCCGATTATATTATAACACTCTTACTTGCTAATGTCATCAAGGTGGTCATCGAGATCCAAACATACTTCAATTTTTCTGATGAGATGTAATCTAGAAGGGCCATATTTACTAATGGTTATATGGTCGAAAGCAAACCTTGTTTTTAACAAAATTATTTGTTCAAGGGAAGAACAGAGAAAAATTCCTCGTTTAAACTAATGAAGAAATTATAACCCCCTCAAAAGTTAGAAAGCATGAGTATACAATTCTAACTTCTAACAGGGACACTTACCTTCATGGTTGTCTTGTTGAACTGATGGATATCTCGACTCCAAATGATAATTTATGTTGTGCCATAGATGAATCTGTTTAAGTACCTTTAAATTGGCGAGTTAGCATAATCATCTTGAGCAGCAAATACTGAAAGGAGGGATAAAACATAGGAAAAAAAATCAAAAGTGGTGTGGATGACACTGGAGCAATACATCAGAAGAAACATAAATGAGAAAAATCCGCTACCAATAATGTGAGCAACAAAGGATATAATAGTAGGGCAGGGCAGGGCAAAGCTAACTAATAAGTCTAGACATCAGAGAAAACATAATTCATTTTTTCACAGGCTTTCTTATTTCACGAACAACCAAGTTAAAAAGCTATGTTCTTCACTAAGAAAGAATCAAACTTTTAATTAATTTTAAAAGAACCAAGTAGTTTTCTACAGAGAAAATTATCGAATTGACCAAAATCATCGTTCTTTCAGCTGTAGCCTCTTAGAGTTCTTACTTGAGTACTTTTGCTACAAACATCACAAATTCTCCATCAAATAGTGCACCTAAACCATCAACAGTAACAATTACTGAAACAGAAAGTGCCAAATAGGTATAAATGACTTCAGAATTAGCATGTTAAATTATTTGGTTCAGGGAAAAGAGGTATTTTATTAGAGCATTTGCTGAAGTACAGGTAAATTGTCTAAAACATGCTGCCGAACCCTTTTTATTCTAAAATTTAATCGACAAAAGCACAAATCTTCTTAAAAGGAATTATCATTATGCTATGAGGTTTTAAATATAAAACTTCATTATTACATAAATCAAACGCAGCAGAAAACCAAAAGGAAAATATATGGAATTGAATTAGTATGAACTAAACTCACCCCCGGGAGCACAATTCATTGAAGAATTTTTTCAAACACTTGGAGAACAAAAGCCTTGGCATGTTAAATTTCTATACGCAGAAACCTAATTCTTCAAGAAACACAAATTTCTAACATGCCATCAAAGATGAAAGAAGCACAAGATGAGGACCAACATACACACCAGAAAATAACAGTGGAGCGAGGAAAAATCATTGAAGTGCAATTAGCAACAATAACAGTGAGAGAAAGAGATTGCAAGGAGGTGTTCAGAGAGAGGGGAACTTTCAGATAGTGTTATGACTGATAATACGAAGCGGTCACTTACCCGGATGTAAAAAATGGAAGTGCACGCATTGAGCCACCAACAGAGAAACCAAGTGCCGATCATAATCTAGGCGGCTACTTTGCTGCTGTCAGTGTTAGGGTACCTACAGCTGTTCTAAGAGAAATTAAAGACTAAACCTGAAATGACCAGAATAACCTCTAGCGGCAAGCACACATGATGACCTCGAGCTGCTTCTCCACTTTCTGATATTCTTATACCTCTAAACTTGTCCTTTTGTTGGTTCTAAGGCATATGGATGATTTCGTTCTTGCCCACTGGCAATTTTCAAGTTGCTCTTTGGTGTTCATGATACCCTTTAACAAGTAGTAAGTAGCGATTTTTGCACTGAGTAGATGAAAAATCGGATCTGAACTTGGAACTACCAAAGTAGATGAAAAAAATTGATAAATTAGTTCTTGGGGAAAAAAAGTAGGAGACATTCAGATCTGAAATTAAAACATTCAAAGTAGAAGGAAAAAACTGATAAAGTAATTCTTGATAGAAGTTTGAATGAACAATAATGGAACCTACGAAAAATTTCAGCATGAAATCCAAAATTTTGAAAAGAGATGGAAAGGAGATGAGAAAAAAATTTACCAAGCTCAAAGTAAAGGGATGAAAGTGACTTACAGATGAGTAAAGGAGATGAAAGTGACCAGAAAAGTATATGGTGTTGCGGTTTTTGATGGATGCAAGGTTTTGACGGGAAAGTGACGGAAAAGTCTAGAATAGTGTAGATAAAATAATATTAAAACAATAAGATGAGAGGGTATAATGACAAATATACCCTTGGTCGACCAACTTCTCATTTCTATATAATATATAATAAT